TATTTGTATAATGTATTACACTGATTAAGCCCTTGCATTTTGAGATAAATCCCATTGGTCATAATGTTTAATTCTTTTAATATGCTGTTGGGTTAAGTTTGATAGAATTTTGTTCAGGATGTTTTGCATCTGTATTTATAACAGATATTGGTCTATAGTTTTCTTTTCTTTTAGTGTCTTTATTGGACTTTGGTAGCAGGGTGAGAATGAGTTAAAGTGTCGCACCCACCTCGCCAGCAAGGAAAACGCAGCAACCGGAGTTCTTCTGACAGCGCTTTAATGGGGATTGCTTAACTGGTTACATGCGGAGACGCCGAGGAGTTCTCGGTGGCTGCTTATAAAGGCAGTAAGTACACTGGGCATTGTCTGATTGGATAAGGCACTTGGAAGGGAGGAGACAAACTCTGCACATGCGCTGAGCACTTGTTTGTCAGACTAACAGCAGGGTTTGACCAGGAAGCGGGCGCCATCTTGGAATGGCGTTGCCACCGCGCCCCACATTAAAGAGTATTACCTCCTCTTCCATTTTTTGAAACAGTTTGAGAAGGATTAGTGTTAATTCTTCTTTAAATGATTGGTAGAATTGAACATTGAATCCATCTGGTCATGGATTTATCTTTTTGGGGAGGTTTATGAGTATTGATTCATTATCTGTATTTGTTGTAGGTCTGTGCAGATTTTCTACGTCTACTTGAGTCAGTTTTGTGGTTTGTGTACTTTTAAGATTTTGTCTATTTCATCTAGGTTACCTAACTTGTTGGCATAAAAATGTTTATACTATTCTCTTATAGTCCTTTTTATTTCTATAAAATTGTTAGCAATATCATTGCTTTAACTTCTGATTTTAGTTACTTGAGTCTTCTCTGTTTTTTCTTAGTTAATTTAGCTAAAGTGTTGTCAATTTTATTGATTTTTTTCAAAGAACCAATTTCACTGTTTTTTTCTTAAATTTCAAAGTATGATTTTCTCTTTGTTTTTCTATTTGTTTCTCTCCATTGTGATATTTATTACTTTCCTCCTTTTCCTGACTTCAGGCTTAGTTTGCTCTACTTTCTCAACTTCCTTAAGGTAAAAAATTATGCTCTCAATGGAAGATATTTCTTAATTTTTATTGTAGGA